TGATGTTTTGATGGGGTTTGGACCTCGAACTTATTGAATAATGAATGAATTACTTAACTGACCTTTTTCATTGACTAACGTTTAATAAGATGATATTTCATAACATGAAGGGCTATACTTTATTTTTTTTGTATTTACTCGATTAACAAACAAGAGTACCTCTTTAAATTTTAAGCATTTATTGTGTGAGATGTATTAAATACTGAATGGGGCTGAAACAATTAATGGGATTAATGTTTAGATTTAGAAACTTTTACTGTCAATTTGTATACACAGGGTGTATACAAATTGTATACAAATGTAAAATAATTGTATACAAATGTAAAATAATTTAGTACAGCTTTTCAGACAGTAAATGTACATTTATAATTGAAATAATTGATTATTGAAATAATCGTTAACTAATTTAATAATGGACTAATCGTTAACTGGAGTATAGAGACTATAAAACATGCCTTCAGCTGACAGAGCGACTCACTTAGAGCAGGAATTATAATAAAATGCTAAATAAATATATAAGCATTTTGCTTTTAAGATAAAAAAAAACAACTTTTTTTTCTGTCAGTCTGCTCTATCAACTATTAAAGTGGAAATGTTTTAGTTTCACCTGGTTTAATTTCATTAAAAGTCTTCTTTAATACAAGCAACCCGCCTTGACCCAGGGGGGGCTTTTGAACTTTCAGCTCATGTTCATATGAGTATTTCACCGTCCACATAGCAGGTCCACACGTCTACAGAAAGCTCTCGTTTTCCTCTTTCCAATGAAACCAAGCATGCTGAACAGCAATAAATACTGCAACTGTTTTTTTCCAAGAGAAACGTAAGAGATACACAAAATTCAAAAATGTCATGTTTTACCTTTTACTTGTTCTAAGGAGAAAACTCAAATATTTCCCTCCAAGTTTGGTCTCTTTGTGGTCGAAACAGCCAGAAAAAAAAATAACCCAGTAAAATGATGGCTCCAAACGTCGTATAAAATCCACACAGGCATGAATACTGCAGGATAACTCTCATCTTCAGGAAACAACGGCACCACATTTTGCTTTTTTCACTCAAGACACTAAAAAACATCGCATTTGATGCCACCGCCGGTTCAAACAGGAAGTCCTGGCTTGATTGACACCTCGTTTGACCAGTTACAGGACAATGGGGGCGGGCTGGAACAGCAGGAAGCCAATTGCCATCAATCATGCTTACAGTTTTTGACTAACTTTTCTGCCCTCCTATTCCAACCAGTAAAAACTCACTCGTGTGTTGAATATTTGTCTGTTCGATTATTAATAGAAAAATTTATTTTAGGTTCCAGCCCTAAAAAAAAAAAAATTGTACAGATTATTAAACGATACAAAACAGAAACCTCTTAGTTTACTGAATAAAAAACTTGAATAAAACCTTTTCAGTAGAGCTATCATTAATAGACAGGGTATGACGCTCTGACAGACTCTTTGCCACTTTACTTGAACAAAGTTTACATTTACTGTGTTTTCACAGTTTTTAGTGTAATCCAGCTATCAGTGCTGGGAGAGACCGTTACTGGTGATGTTTACTGGTGTATTACCTCACAAGAGCCTTCCCCATCTACAGTGCTAATTGCTAGCATGTCTTGCAAGCGTTTAGCTCCACTTTTCTATCATTACATCATCATCATCCTTCAAACTCAGTGGAGAAGTTCTGCTGCTCCTCTATGCAGTACGGCTAAATGGAAATATTTAGGTCAGAACTGAAGGAGTTTATTGAGAGTTTATATTTACAAACTGAATCCTTGTTTCCATTGAACGGTGTAAATAATCTGGACAGAACTCTGAGTTCTACTTTAGCATAACCATCTGTCTAGCATCAGTTCTCTTGCAAACGGTGGTAACATTACAATACTGAAAGAAATTCCCTTTAAGCCGGAGTTATTAATGAACCGCGTTGACCAAATTTCAATATAATAAATCGCTAGCCTGTGAGGGTTGGACTCCGCCAAGGTTGCCCTTTGTCACCGAATCTGTTCTTAAC